TAGGGAAAGCAAATGCTGTACTGGGAATAACCTCTCAGGAGTTGCACTAGCTCCAGGAAACTGTCACTTTGGATTTATTCCCCCTATTAGGGGAAGGAAAAACCGTGTGCCCTTTGTGTTAATCTGTATTACTTTTGTATTTGTGAGGTACCCTCCCCCGCACCCCGCTCTTGCCTCTCTTCCAAAAGTCCTCCCAGAAAACAAAGACAGAAAGGGACCAGCTTGAAGAGAATGGAGTCATTGTTCCTTCAGTTCCTTCCTGAACAATTTGTTTGAGAAGGAATAGATCACTTCCAGTGCTAGAGGTGAAAGCCACAGCATTAAACCCCAAAGACAAGTGACTTTATTATACAAGAGTTACAGGACATTGTTCTTCTGTACACAGGTTGTTTTATGGGATGGGCATCGCCAGCCTCGTTTTAGCACCATCACCATTATTAATAGCCTTGTTTTGTAATCGTGCCCATCTGACCTTTGCCAGGTACGCCGCCTCACTATCCTGAACTTTCCTACCTTCAGTCTTGATCTTAAACCTAGGTCACAGGCAACGAATTCACATTTGATGCCTATGATTTGCTGGGCAGCACGCAAGCCCTGAGGATCCAGGAACGAACAAAATAGACCCTCTGTGCCCTCAGGGAGCTCACCGCCTTCCTAGTCTTCTTACCTGGTAAGTCTTCCCTTTTCCCTTCCATTTATCTGTAATCTTACCATAGGCACGGATGAAATCTTCACTGGCTACTTCAATCACAGCCTTCCTCTCCTTCCTCTGACCTCTTACAGCCCTATTTCTAGGGTGACCAAACCGGAATCCTTCTGAGTGAAAGGGGTGCTATTAATAATTATGCTGCAACAACAGATGTATACAGGGCAAACCAAGACATGTGTGGACAGCACTCTGTCCAACACAGTTGGGTTCTTCCTCCTTCTCTACCAGACTGTGCACTTCCTAGAAGGTATAACCAATATCTTACACTTTTATATTGAATGAGAAAATCTAACTTTGGCCAGATCCCAGTACTCCTTTAAATTACAAAACACTGAGGACTTGGACTTCCAATGCACCTCAGAAATAAAAATACTTGTTAATCACTTTATTATATTTTTGAATGCTAAACGGTGTGAAAAACATTCCCTTTGTCTAAGACTCTGCCCTCCTTGGTCTGGCAGAGAGCTCGTTTTGATCTTATGAAATACAACATAGAAATATTGCACCTCATTTGCTTTCACTGTTGAAAAGAAATCTAATTTTCTTTTTTAATTAGTGTGATAGACATGTGAAAACATTCATCTCCTCCACGCAGTGCTCATCAGTGTCATGTAAACCATGCACACAAGACAATAAGTCGGAGTGGCTTCTTTTCTTGATGGTGTCCAGGGAGGGCACCCCAGCATTGGGCCATGTGTCAAATGATCTTTTCTACATAGCCAGCCACATTCTGAGAAAAACATCTATTATTATTTGGGAATACTTCCAACTAAGGTGGGATGAGTGTACAGTGACCAAAAAACAAAAACAAAACAAAACGAAAAACCCAACAACAACAAACTTTGGCCATTCAGCCAGAGGGGAACTTGGTGGCCTCAGAGGGGTGATGGGAAGAGGGAGGAGGACGTGTGGGTGTTTCGATATTAATTCATTCAAGATCTGTGCATTGAGTGCTTTTGTTTAGTTGAAGCGGCTGGAAGGCCTCCATGTGCACAATGGGGAGGTTTTCATTTTCAGGGGGAAAATGTTGTGCGGAGAAACTGTCTAGAAGGATATGATTTTGAAAGCAGAGAGGAATGAAGCCAAAGGAGGGTTCCCTCCAGATGAAAAGGCACATAGTCATAATCGTTTTCCTTTGTTGAAGGGATCTTTCAAATAATCACTGTGGGGTGTTTACATGACAACTGCTTTACGGAGCCATCCCGTGTCTAGGTTTGCCTTTGGGGAACCAATTATGCGCTGCTGGCCTATCTGTACCTCCTCTCCCCACCCCCAGCCCCAATTCCCTTGCTTCGCTGTCTGTTTTCAGCTGGTATTCTTTTCTGGTTGAATGGCCACAAACACAAGCTGTCTATCTCCTCCAGCTCGTGGAGTTCAGCTTGGCAGATGAAAATAACCTTGGTAGAGGAACTGTTCAGAAGCTCGAGGCCCTGCTCATTGCCACCAGGGCAGAGAACGCCCAAGTGGAAAGTCAAATCTGCTATTGCCCAGAGGAGCACCTACGGCATAAACAAAACGGACTTTCACTTTACCGCCACCTCCTCCCAAGAAAAGGAAGAAACTGGTTTTAGACTTCTGACTTCTTTGCAGAATAGAAACAAGACAGCATTTTATCTTTTTTCCCCAACCCACTGAATGAAATGAACAGTAAAAATAAAACACTGGTTTGCAAACGCTTCAACCCCAGGGGCTGTTGTTCGCCCGATTCCACCATTTAATGTGAAACGTGCAGGCTGTGCTGTTCACCCTCCAGAACTGCCTTTGTCTGTGTTTTAGTCTCTTGACACCAAGGGGTGAACCAATAATCTGAATTAACCCAAAATATAGCAGAGAAGTGACTTGGTTATATTCAGAAGTGAGCATGTGGTTGGTATCACAGCTGGGCTGTGGGGTTTAACTACACTAGGGATGTATCCATTCAGCGACCTCAGACTTAGGGCAGGACACCTGGCCGTCATGGGCAGGGCCCCAAGTCAATGGACTTCAATACTAAAGAGTAGCATTTGATATGAGTTTAGCTACCAACACCTGTAGATATAAATATCTCCTTCCCAGGCCCCTTGGTTTCTCCAGGTCACCCTTGAAAAGGGATGGGTCCCTTTTCTGCTGGAAATAATTTGACTTTGCAGTCAACACAAAGAAAGAGAGCCATTGCTGGCGCTTGTGTTCGGGTACTCAGAATTTTGTGCAGGTCCCTAGTGCAGGCTTTTATTAGCTTTTCCTCGCTCTAGCTTGGTATTTCTTTATATTTATACATAAGATAAAATATTTAAAGCAGTAATCTCAACTGGATTGGCAGAGGAAGAGAGAAGCAGCACCCACTGGGGGCCTTTCGGAAAAGCAACATATGCAGTACGTTTTTACTCAACAGATTCTCCAGTATTCAGGTTTTCAGATGCTTGGATGCAGCAGATTTGGGGGCAAATGCATCACCTTCCTGGGGAAGAGACAGGATTAGGCAGTATCTCTACTGAAGGGGGAGCTGGGCACAAGAGGGCTGGGCTACCAGGGACAGTGAAAAGCAGGGAGGCCCTTTCCTCTAGTGGCTGTTACCCTGAGCAGGCACACCCCTGCAATTTGTTCCTACAGAAGGTTAGCCACTGGCTGCTTCCTAATTGACCACTGGAGAGTAGCCTGATGATGCTCCTTCTTGAAGAGTTCACAGCTGACATCCCTTGCTTGGAACAGCAGCTAAAACAGTCTGATGGAGACACAATGGAGGGGGGTGGGTGGGTGGGTGGGGATTAGAGGGAAAACTCAGAGGCTGGTTCAAAAGAGTTGGAGGAGGAAGAGGAAGAGGGGAAATAGGTGAATAGGAATATCCTGGGGTGGGGGTGGGTAGGAGGAGAGGAACATTCTCAGAGCCAGATAACCCTGATAGAAAACGAAAACGAAGAAGTGATCACGTGTCAGATAACAAAGGGGCAAATGCTCACAGAAGATGCCCAGTCCCATACGGAGCGCCAAGTACAACCTCTCTGGGAATGGGGGCGACGATTAGTCCCAGTCCTAGAACTTCAACCAACTGCATGGCTGTGAGCGTGGAGGAAGTGGGGAGCAGGGAGGAAAGACGGACCCAACATGTTTTCCAAGACAATCATGATTGTTTCCCCCGGAACCAAAAGCTTAAACGTTTCCTCTCCGTCACTCGAGCAACACGTTGGTATCTTCAGGATAAGAACCTTCCACGCTTCCAACATCCCCTCTGCACCACCCCGCCCCTCCCCCCAACAAAATCCGCCCGGTTATCTTGCTTTTCCACTTGCTCTCTTGCTCCTGCGGGAGCTGTCACTTTGCACGAGGAGCTGGCACAGCGCTTCTGCCACCTTAACATCTGGATGGCTTCCGCTTGTCTAATTTCCAGCAGCACCTACTCCCTTCTAACATGAGGTTCTCTATCCGCTCCCCACTACCCTGGGGGAGGAGGATAGGAGGTTACAGTCTCGCGGTAACAGAGTTGCAGATGCTTCTCTTCTCTAGACCATCTCCCAAGCCACAGAAACTTGCAGGGGTGCTCCGGTCTTCAGGTGCATCGTCACCTACCCCACTCCCACTTCCCACCCCCGTTTTTCCAGACACTGGTTGGCATCAATGCAACAAATTTCTCCTTCTTGCCCCTCCTCCCAATTCTCATCCCCCGCGTCACCCCACATTGCCAATTTCTAATTCAGACACGCGGGGATGAGGCTGGTTCGTTGCCAAGCTGAATCCAGGCAGCCTGGGGGCAAGTTGGTACCCCAGAGACTGCGATCTCAGCCTGAGCTGGACTCCCGGTGGGCGCTGAGAGTGCCGGAAGTCGTTCGGTGGCAGCCGGCAGCTCAGGACCCGCATCCCGGGGCGCTCTCCCCGCACCCCCCCCGCCCACCGCCCGCCACAGGGCACCTAACGTCCGGCCACGCGTGTCCTAGCCCCAGAGATGCTCCAGCCGCCGGGCACTGCCGGGGGCCCCTTACCATCTTCTGGGCCGGTCCCTCCACTCTCCTGGGCATCCCTCGGTTCTGACTGCAAAAGTGCTTGTGCCCTGCACCGCTCGGCAACTTCGCGTCTCTACCCTGTGGGCATCAGAGACCCGAACCCTCCCGGACGGAGGAAGCCGAGGACGCCCCCAGTCTCAACGGCTCCTTAACAGGCAACACTCATGCAAGCCGAGGACACCCTCGCCACACAGACCTCACTCGGCTTGTCAGCAAAATCAAGCAAAAAAGAACAAATAAAAAGGTGCTCATACCTAAAGACGAAGGCTCCTTGTCATGACAGGAGGACACCTGAGGTCTCCGGCTTAGAATAACAGCCTCCGTGCCAATGCAATGACCCGGGCCGCCCGCACCTCCGGCTTTGCAGCTACCCTGAGCGCGCTCACTCGGGTGAAGGGACAAAGGGTCGCGGGAAGCAGTCGGGTCCCCGAGTCCAGGCCCCGGCGCCGGCGGCCCTCCCGCGTCGGCTCCCGGTAGCTGCGGCGCGGGCTGAAGTTGCGGGGCCGGCAGCGCGTGGAGCGAGCGCCGCGGCCGCGCGGGGGGCTGGGAGCGCGGAGCGCGCGGGGGCGGGGCTCGGCCGAGGGGCCGGCGGCGTCACCCGGGCGGGGAGGGGGCGGGGGAGCCAGATGCTTGACAGTTACTTCAGCCCAACTCCGAAGGGTGTGCTTTGCTGTCTGCGTCCAGCGGATCGCCGCCTCGCCGAGCTCCTTGGCACTAGCTGGTGTCACCGCTTTGGAGTTATCCTTGGAATTCGCGCAGGAGACAGAGTGCATCGGAGGGAGAGGGCAGGGGAGAACAGCCGAGGCCATGAAAGGCCCTTTCAGCCAACCTTTTGGTACTTCAAAGAGAGGCTGTGTATTGAAACAATGCGCTGGGGCAACTCTGGTGGTGGTG